TCTACCATATCATTTACACCCTGCTGTGTAATACAACAATACAAACCATCACAGAATTTGTAATGCTTTTACGGGTCATAATGGCATTTATATTGGTCTTAATGGAAACTGTAATGGGTCCCTGTGGGTCTCTATGGATAATTTGTCACCTTCTAACGGTGGCTTGGTAAAACCACTAAATCCTAATGGAATATGTCCCAAAACACACTACAGGAAACCATTTTAATGTTTTTTTTTCTTCTTCTTCTGGTTAAAAGTTGATAGTTTGTAATGTTTCTCTAATGTTATTTGTAATGGAAATCGTTAGAATTTCTGTGACTGATTTTTTTCATCAGGGCAGTACATGGTACTTCAAGGTAACTAAAGAAATACCATTGCATTTGATGCCCAAAACCACATGATATTGTCATGTTGCATGTTCAAAAACCAAGATAGTGTATAACCTGCCATATTATGTTGATGTTAATGTAGTCTGTTGTTCAGTGGCATCACTGCAGAATGATACTCGTCACACTTGATATCCTTGAGCAACAGAAGCCTGTTGTTCTGGAAGACACATACTTTGGCAGAAGCACATTTGACTGATCGATTACCCAAATGCACCAATCGATGCAGCATGTGTTAATCTGAAGTGGGCTCCACCGCCTCTCTCTTGACCTCATTAGCTCACACAGACATGCGCTTGTTCGGATTACTGTTCTTGTGCGGATTATGGACCGGAACAGCAGACATGACTTTGGACGTGCTTTCTGCGATGCGTTGTTTAACGCGTTACGGCGTTCAGCCTGAAATATCTTGACCTGTTTCCCCGCACCTGACTGCCAGCTTTACACATCGTTTGGCGTCATGGCTGACATACCCCCCCAGCTGATTAAAATCGGCATTTCTCTGAAAACCACTCCGAATAACGGACCTGTCTACTTCAAATCGGACCGGACGAGATTCGGTCAAACCCGAACCATCAAATTACTGACGGGAACTACACTCTAAAAAATGCTGGGTTAAATATAACCCAGCGCTGGGTTAAAAAGGGGGACAAACCCAGCTATTGGCTTGTTTTGACCCAGCGGTTGGGTTGTTTTGAACCCAACCGCTGGGTCAAAACAACCCAATAGCTGGGTTTGTCCCTTTTTAACCCAGCGCTGGGTTAAAAAGGGACAAACCCAGCTATTGGGTTGTTTTGACCCAGCGGTTGGGGTAAAAAGGGACAAACCCAGCTATTGGGTTGTTTTGACCCAGCGGTTGGGGTAAAAAGGGACAAACCCAGCTATTGGGTTGTTTTGACCCAGCGGTTGGGGTAAAAAGGGACAAACCCAGCTATTGGGTTGTTTTGACCCAGCGGTTGGGGTAAAAAGGGACAAACCCAGCTATTGGGTTGTTTTGACCCAGCGGTTGGGGTAAAAAGGGACAAACCCAGCTATTGGGTTGTTTTGACCCAGCGGTTGGGGTAAAAAGGGACAAACCCAGCTATTGGGTTGTTTTAACCCAGCGCTAGGTTATATTTAACCCAGCATTTTTTAGAGTGTAAATACAGGATCGACGTGGTCATCAAACCGGGAGCAGTTGAGGCGACGTGAGTACATTGTCAGACAGTGAAATTATTGATCAGAGATTTCTTGTTTTCAATAAAGCTTCGTTTGCATCAGCGTTGAGATGCGTTGATGCATTTCGATGTCTGAGAAATGATTTGCCATGATTATAAGAATAAATAAACCGCATGTTTATTTTGCGATGTAAAAATTACAAAGCACAACCATTTTACAGCTCAATAGCTATTATACAAGACAATAATGCAGACTTATTATTGTAGGCTATGCGTATATTCATTGTACTTGGTAGCTACTCAATTAAAAAAAAATGCCATGTTATTACTATGGTTAACTAATAATAGTGAAAATAAATGAAAATACTGAAATGAAAACACATCATTTGTATGTAGCATGTGATGATACATATGGGATGTCATGATTGTGGGGTTTATCCTACAGGATCTCATGCACTGACAGATTGCTTCCTTCGGCAGTCAAATCCAGACGATTATTGCGGAGTTCGCACTGCACGATTTTAGCCCGATTTTTCACTCGCCGACAGGTTTTGCAAAATCGCCGACAAATGCCCGAAATCGGAGGCAAATCGGTGCTCATTCACGCGAGTGACAATCACATAGTGTGAATTATCAAAGACGCCATGTGAGGGAATCGCCGACACGTCGCCCGTGAAATATTTGGCATGCTAAATATCTGGAGCTGTCGGCGATTCACAATCACACTGTGTGCAATGATTTCTGACTGAAAACTACATCGGCGATGACCTACAGCCAATGAGAGACCAAGATACAGGGCAGAGGGATGCTCCAGGAGGAGTTATAGACCAGAATATCAGTTGCAATTGTGAACACAGCAGCAACTGAATGCTACCCCAGATAGTCACGCAGTGTGAAAACAACGGCGATCCGACGAGTTTGAAAATCGTGCAGTGTGAACTCGGCATAAGGCATCAGTCTGGCGGGTTGCATGTTGTAATGCATGTAGGCTATTCTTTGTGTGTTCCTAGGCCTACACATATCCAGGCGTTCCTCTCTCCAGTCTCATTCCTCAGATCCATGACTATTGGCGGAGTGACTTTTCCCCTGGAGCAGCAGTCTAAAGACCCTCAGTCTGTAGTGTACGCTGGGATATATGACACTGAGGGAGTAGCACAAACCAAATCCGGAGAGAGGCAACCTGTTCAAGTCAACATGCAGGTGAGAATTGACCACCTGAGGAGCCGATCGCTTTCCAAATGGGTTTTGTTCTCTTAGAAATAAGTATAGCAATGCAGCTTGAGGATTTTGAAACTATACAGGCTGAAGAAGAAGTATGTGAAGATGTGTCATTTCTGTCATTTCAGTTCACTCAGGCAGGGCTTTTCGAGACCAAGTTCTACAACTACAACAAGAGAGACCACTGCCAATGGGGCAACAGCTTCAACAGCATCGAGTACGAGTGTAAACCCAACGACACGCGTACCCTCATGTGGATCAATAAAGAACTGTTCCTTTGAAGAAACAGATACTGGGCTAGACACAGCACACTGTCGTTCTCAGTGAAGTATGAATCAGCGCTTCCTGATGGAGCCTTTCCTGTTAGCGACGTGTGACTTAGACGTTTGCGATGAAGTGGGAGTTTTGTTGGATTAGTCTTGGTGCTGCTGGAAAATCAATGCACTGTATCTGATGCAATAGTTGCACTTTACCAACTGTTTGTTGTAGTGTTGTCTCTTTTGCAGTTTTCCTTCCAGTTGTCTACCTCTGAAGAACCCAGTGAGTATGAAGTTTACTTTAATATTTGACATTGTATATAGATTTCATGTTAGACTTGTTAATACACATAAATGTAGCATTTTCGCAGTTAATTGTACCCGTATCGATATATGTCTAGTGTGTCTTTTTATGAGTATTTTGTAATGGTGCATTGTGATGTATGTGCAATAATTGTGTATTTTTCCATATTTTTGCATTTTTCAAAATGCTAATACTGTTTAAAGAAAAATAAAGTATACCAGAAATGCTTTAACTGAGTAGTCTTGCACTGACACATGCATGCAGCACCACGCAGAGGTTTTCAGTGTCATTGCGGAAATACCCTTATTATGCATGTTTTTTGCTCATCCCACAACTGGACATGACTGATAACAGAGGGTTACCAAAATAAAGTAGCACTTGGCTGTTGAGATGATCTCAACATGCAGCCAGCAGGTGGCGCTCTAGCATAGTGTTAATGAAATATCAAGAAGATTAGGTGTTAGCATGCTCATAAAACATCCTAACATCTTAAACGAGTCCTAAGACCACGATGAGACCTTAAAGTAAGAGCACTTTAAAACCGTCTTAAAGGGTTTAGTTCTAATCTAATCAGATTCGATTTGAACGTAAACATATATAGGCTACTTGTCCATCTCACTGCAGTGCGAACAGTTTAAAAATATGCTTTTTTGTGGCGGTTTTAAACTGTATGTTTATATAAGGTTACACCAGACTTTCAGGGGAAAAAAGTACACATTAGCATTATTATTATTACTACTATTATTGTTATTATTATCAATATTTAAAACAGTTGTGTGCATTTTTATTCAGGATTCTTTGATGAATAGAAAGATCCAAGCATTTATCTGAAATACAAAAGCTTTTGTAACATTATACACTATACCATTCAAAAGCTTGGAGTCAGTAATTTATTATTATTATTATTATTATTATTTTTAGCAAGGATGCTTTAAATTGATCAAAAGATGTTCTTCTGAACTTTCTATTCATCAAAGAAACCTGAAAAAAATCTACTGTTTTCAACATAATAATAATAATAATGTTTTTTGAGCTGCAAATTAGAATATTAGAATGATTTCTGAAGAATTGTGACTGGAGTAATGATGCAAAATCAGCTTTGAAATCACAGGAATAAATGACTTTTTATTACAAAATTTGAATTCAAATTCAAATAGAAAACAGTTATTTTTAATAGTAAAAATATTTCAACATTTCGCTGTACTTTGGATCAAATAAAAGCAGTCTTGGTGAGCAGAAGAGGAAAAAAAAACATTCAAAATCTTACTGTTTGTATACACTTACTACTGTACTTCCCCACCAAAAAATTGATAAAATTTCAATAAACTTTTTAGGGGATAATGTCGTTATTTCTTCTCTCAGGAATAATGTAAAAATGATTAACAGGTGTTTATGAAACTGGAAGAACTTATAAATTCACTAACCATGTTTTCTTTGTTCTCTCATAGAATGTTTTTAATTTTAGACGCAATAATAAGAGATTTATTTAATGGGAAGGACATTGAAGTGTGTTTAAGTGAGGGTGAAGGCAGGGGGTGGAGCTTAGGTTTCCCGTATGTAGTGTATCGAAGGCCCGCCCATCAGCGCCTCTTCTCCCCGCCCCTTTCGCGTGTCGTCCAATAGCAGCGAGCCTCCTCCGCTCCCCCCCCCCTCCCCGCCCTGCGGCGCTTCCTCGCGTCGCTGCTGCAGTGAAACCCACGGAAAATAGATTACGCTGCTGCCGTGTCCAAGCCAGCCTTTTCTTTGCAGAACAGCAAGACCAGGAGCAGAATTTCCCTCTTGTTTTTGTGCTCTCATCTACTGCTCTTCATTTCCGAGGGGGAATTCCGTCGCGCAGGCAGCACAATGGTAAGGAACACAACGCATTCGCAGTACTGTAAACACATACCAAATATCATAGTTTCAAATGCATCCTGCAAACACTGGCCGACGAATTCAGCGATTGGCTGAGCTGTCATAACATGAAGATTTATGGCTTCTCTATTGTGCATAGGCCATGTTGAGGATCTGTTCCTAGTCTATTTCATGCAAAGTGGTTGCAAAATGAATGTTTAGCTGAGTAACACAGCACTGAATGTGTGATGCTGTTTGGCATTTAAAGATAAAGCCAGAGCTGTTGTTGTATGACATTAGTCAGCTAGGCCTATTACAAGAAGCCATTTCTATTATTGCATCAACAGTTTGATAAATAAGTGAACTGGATGCTCGTTATTACTTCAAGTTGTTTCATCTCACCTCTAATCAGATTTTCTAGTTATTTGTATTATGCACTTATCCATACAATGTAGCCTGCAGTACTACAACCCTACAGTGTTGTGGTGGTACAGTGCTGGTATCCGATGGCAATACCATGCTATTGAATGATTACAGTATTCATGTGGTATTTACATGGGGAAAAGATCTCGAGAGATCCACAGTATTGTGCCATCATCAGCAATGTTGTAAATCTCTATTACGCTAGTAGTGAATTCAGTCATACTCCAGAAACCAACAAGAAGATGCCATACTAGAAGCCTCACCTCTAATAGCCTTCCTTAGAAAGCAGCACGCTTCCAGCTGATTGTTTCCATTAACTGGAACAAAAACTAGGTCTGCCCTGCCACGTTCTGTTCCAGGTCCTTAGGGCTTCGGCGTTTGAATAAAACCGTGCGCCACAGTCGATGTCTTTTTCTGGAAGGGTCTTGTGACAGACTGGCAGCGGTCGGGTCAAACGCAGCCCTGAAACACTGAGCTCGTGTTGGGACATGCGTGAGACGAAAACTGAATATCAGTCTTTATGAAGACTGATGTGGTGCTGCTGCTTATTCAGTGCCTTACTACCGGTAATTCTTTCATTGACTGCATTACAAATATTGTGTTGGTGTGCCTATAGAAGAACCATAAGCGGTTTATATCTGCTGTTATATGTGCAGGCTATGCCTCCGACAGATTTCAGTATGTTTATAGTAGCGCAGAAAACCTTCTTCCAAGCTTCAGACCAAAGCATCATGAGGTGCTGCCACCAGCAGAGTTGGCTTATATTGTACAAATCTAGGCTCCGTCTCAGTTTCTGGGGATGATATTGCAGCTGGAGAACTGCTTTACTTCAGTGTTTTAGCTGCTACAGCCCTGGGCAAACGTCTTCTCCAGTAATGGCTTTTTATGGCCTTTCCTTACAGAAGAGTGTCATGCAGAGCTCTTGATATGTTCATTCAATGAGCCGGCTAAACCTTTGCAAGGCACTCTGCATATAGAGGGAATGTACACTGAGACACAGGGCCCTGTGAAATTAGCTTTTTTTTCTCCCCTTTCTTTTTTTTCTGGATTTCCATTTTATTTATTTATTTATTTTTTTGTTTGTTTGTATTCAAAAACATGTCTAATTAATTGAAATCATGAAACCTATATGATTTAACAATGGTTGATTAAACCAGGTGACATATCATGAAAATCTGACTTTTCCAGGTTTTAAGTGCTATAATCAGGTCCCCGGTGCATCTACCTACTAGGGGTGTGCGATATTGACAAAAAAATTATATCTCGATATTTTGTGGGATTTTATCGACAATGATAACGTATTTGAAACCTTAAAAGTAGACACTTTACTTACATTTAATGTGTTTTCTATGGACATATAATCACTTTTGTAAATTTCTTTTGATGCGAACATCTTAAAGGTGACATATGAAAATCTGACTTTTCCAGGCTTTAAGTACTATAATCAGGTCCCCGGTGCATCTACCTACTAGGGGTGTGCGATATTGACAAAAAAATTATATCTCGATATTTTGTGGGATTTTATCGACAATGATAATTAGACGAAATTTTGCTGAGTGTGTTATTGTGCTGGTACCTTAAGGACTGCCGAAGACAGCTGACTCCTAATGTTTTTAATATTCTTCATATTCTGTGT